GAAGTCAAAACAATTTGAGCGCTCTGGGTTTTCCCAAGCGCTATGTAAATAAAGATTACTTATTCTCTTACTAATGATGACATTTAAAACCAGAAACTCTCAATATAAAAAACAAGACTCAAATCTCTTAAACCTTCTTAAACTTTAAAATATGTATTATGTACTTTTGTACTGTGTGTTTAATTATCTGTGCATTTATCTCAGCATATATTTTACTAATTTAAAATAATTGCAGCATTTTTCAAATGAAGTCAGTATGAATTGGAGCACATTTTAGAGCCAGGCTCCTGTGCTGCGTGCATCTGCAGCAGGAGGAAGGTCAGGTGCATAGTCAAAACAAAAACAAAAGTCACCACTTGAATGTGAATTGGGTGAATTGGGTAGTTTAACTTAATAATATAATACTTTTACAGCCTAATTCTCTCTTTCTTTTTTAGACGAAGTCTACAATCATTAATCACTTTTAACAGATTCTAATTTAAATGTTTGAAAAACGGCTTTTGTAACTAAAATAAAAATACATGAAAAAATTCTCACAAACAGCTATGAAATATATCAGAGATACAATAATGGACTCACAAAATAAGCAGCAGATTTAAAAAGAAAAGCAAAGCTTTTTGTACTAATCTTTGGGTTTCAAAAACATACTAATTCAAAACTTCTATTCCCTAATGGTGTTTAAAAACGTTTAACTGTGTCTAACACAATGTTCAAATGGCAAATTTAGCAAATTTAACGGAATAACTACTATGAAAAGCCAAATTCCTAAAGCAGTAGCTCCCCTTTAAATCAGAGCAGCAGCTCAGCAGCAGCGAGGGCGGGGGGTTCCTTTCACACAGACGCGCACACACAGGCAGAAAGATACAGAAGAATAACTTTCAAGATTACTTTGTTAAGCGAATATAACTGATGTTGTTCTTTATACTTTTGTCATCCAAATCTAGAAGTGATCACTTTCCACACTTGTAACAAAAGGCACTCTTGTCTTTGACGTTTACGCTTCTATTTTATCGAGGTAGCAAACTAATTTAAACTTAAAATCTCTTTCTAAAAAACAAAAACAACTGTTGGATACAGCCCTCTCATAGCTTAACTGTAGATAAAACTCGGCAAAAAATGTAAATAACTCACGAAAGCTCTCATAGCTCAACTTTAGATAAAACTCTGTATTCTCCGGTGAACTCTGTTCACTCCAAAAAACAAAAACTCCCTTTTTCTGTGATCACTGAAATATTGTTGCTTCTTTACTTTTGTCATTTATCAGCCTGAAATTCGTCAATTTCAAAGCTTTTGTAACAAAGGCCTCCTTAACACGTTTCCCTTTTTATAATAACTTTTATGTTTACACCATGGTTTCACTTATGGATCCTCACTTTAATGGCCAACACTTTTCACTTATGGATCCTCACTTTAATGGCCAACACTTTTCACTTTATGGATCCTCACTTTAATGGCCAACACTTTTCACTTATGGATCCTCACTTTAATGCAACACTTTTCACTTTATGGATCCTCACTTTAATGGCCAACACTTTTCACTTTATGGATCCTATTCACTTTAATGGCCAACACTTATTTGAACACAATTTAGAGAGTTCGACAGACCTCAAAAACACACCCAAATTTAGCTAGTATCCAATTATGCAGACTTTACATTTAAAAAGGTGTCTGCTTACCTTATTCTTGTCAAAGAGGTGCGCACGGGCTGTCCGAGAGGTCTGCCAACTCTTTTCCGCGTCGGAATCTTCAATTTAAAAAACAAAAGTGACAGAAGCGACAAGAAGCATCCAGGAACAGCTCTTCCAGCCTGCTGGAATCTCCGCTCCCAGACACAGCATGCCGATCTCTCACGCAGAGGAAAAGAAACAGAGCAAAACTCCCCCAAAACAATCCAGAGAATGGCACAAACCGAGCCGCGCATTCTCCACCAAATCTGTTAGGATTTAAGCAGACAGAGACGGATCGTGGTGTGCCAAACTCTGGAAGTTTATTTAAGTTTCTCTCAAGTTCCACTAGTTTACTCTGTTTCTTTTTCTCAGACAGAATAAAGGCAATACACAGTTTATATAGTCATTGTCACGTCACACATCGAAAGACATACGTGTCACAAAGAGACAGTCACATCATAGTCATAACATGGAGTCCTTGTAGAGTCCTTGTACAGTCCTGCACGTAGGCCATATTGCTATCTAATACTAACAATAGGCATCTCTGACTTTAGCTTCTTTAGCATGATAAAGTAGCTAGTATAAAATCTCTAGCGTTAGCATAATAAAGAAGTGTTTACATTAAAGTATAAACATTAAACCAAACCAGGAGCAACAATAAAACACAGACTTCAGAAAATGTCAAAATATATTTATTTTTATTGTTCAGAAAACATACAAGAATGTGTTTGTCTGTTGATCTCACCTCCACAGACACAGGCGCAGACGCAGACACAGACACAGAGGCAGACACAGGCGCAGACACAGGCGCAGACACAGAGGCAGACACAGACGGAGACACAGAGGCAGACACAGGCGCAGACACAGAGGCAGACACAGGCGCAGACACAGAGGCAGACACAGAGGCAGACACAGGCGCAGACACAGACAGAGACACAGACGGAGACACAGAGGCAGACACAGGCGCAGACACAGAGGCAGACACAGGCGCAGACACAGACAGAGACACAGACGGAGACACAGACGGAGACACAGAGGCAGACACAGACGCAGACACAGAGGCAGACACAGACGCAGACACAGGCGCAGACACAGAGGCAGACACAGAGGCAGACACAGACACAGAGGCAGACACAGGCGCAGACACAGACACAGAGGCAGACACAGGCGCAGACACAGACAGAGACACAGACGGAGACACAGACGGAGACACAGACAGAGACACAGAGGCAGACACAGACGCAGACACAGAGGCAGACACAGAGGCAGACACAGGAGCAGACACAGAGGCAGACACAGGCGCAGACACAGACACAGAGGCAGACACAGAGGCAGACACAGGCGCAGACACAGAGGCAGACACAGGCGCAGACACAGACACAGAGGCAGACACAGAGGCAGACACAGGCGCAGACACAGAGGCAGACACAGACGCAGACACAGAGGCAGACACAGAGGCAGACACAGGCGCAGACACAGAGGCAGACACAGACGCAGACACAGGCGCAGACACAGAGGCAGACACAGACGCAGACACAAAGGCAGACACAGGCGCAGACACAGAGGCAGACACAGACGCAGACACAGAGGCAGACACAGAGGCAGACACAGGCCTGCGCAGACACAGACGCAGACACAGACGTAGACACAGGCGCAGACACAGAGGCAGACACAGGCGCAGACACAGACGCAGACACAGGCGCAGACACAGAGGCAGACACAGGCGCAGACACAGACGCAGACACAGACGCAGACACAGGCGCAGACACAGAGGCAGACACAGGCGCAGACACAGAGGCAGATTCAGGCGCAGACACAGAGGCAGATTCAGGCGCAGACACAGACGCAGGCGCAGACACAGAGGCAGACACAGGCGCAGACACAGACGCAGACGCAGACACAGGCGCAGACACAGAGGCAGACACAGGCGCAGACACAGACGCAGACACAGGCGCAGACACAGAGGCAGACACAGAGGCAGACACAGACACAGAGGCAGACACAGACAGAGACACAGACGCAGACACAGGCGCAGACGCAGATACAGGTGCAGACGCAGACACAGGCGCAGACACAGGCGCAGACACAGAGGCAGACACAGACGCAGACACAGAGGCAGACACAGAGGCAGACACAGGCGCAGACACAGAGGCAGACACAGACGCAGACACAGAGGCAGACACAGAGGCAGACACAGGCCTGCGCAGACACAGACGCAGACACAGACGTAGACACAGAGGCAGACACAGAGGCAGACACAGGCGCAGACACAGACGCAGACACAGGCGCAGACACAGACGCAGACACAGGCGCAGACACAGACGCAGACACAGACGCAGACACAGACACAGGCGCAGACACAGAGGCAGACACAGGCGCAGACACAGACGCAGGCGCAGACACAGGCGCAGACACAGAGGCAGACACAGGCGCAGACACAGACGCAGGCGCAGACACAGAGGCAGACACAGGCGCAGACACAGACGCAGACACAGGCGCAGACACAGAGGCAGACACAGGCGCAGACACAGGCGCAGACACAGAGGCAGACACAGAGGCAGACACAGACACAGAGGCAGACACAGACAGAGACACAGACGCAGACACAGGCGCAGACGCAGACACAGGTGCAGACGCAGACACAGGCGCAGACAAAGGCACAGACGCAGACACAGACACAGGCGCAGACACAGAGGCAGACACAGGCGCAGACACAGAGGCAGACACAGACATAGGTGGCAGTTGCGCACACAGACACAGACGCACGCGCAGACACAGAAGCAGACACAGACGCATACACAGATGCAGACACAGACATAGGTGTCAGGTGAGGACACAGACACAGACGCAGACACAGGTGCATACACAGACGCAGGACAGTGGGGTTTGTTGAAGGATTGCTGCCCTTCAGGGAAGGCAGTAGGTTGTATAGTTATCTCCTTATCGGGCAAAATCACTGCCCTGAAACCACACAACCTACTACCTCACCCCGTACGAGCATCACAGACTCAGACCCACCACACGGCCACAAAATACACACTTTACACACATGTACAAGTCAGTCAGTCAGTGAATAAGTCAGTAGGTAAGAGGATAGGTAGGTAGATAGTAAGGAAGGAAATAAGGAAAGAAGAAAGTAGGTAGGTAACTAAGTAAGTAGGTAAGAAGGTAGAAAGGAAGGAACGAAGGAAGGAAAAGGAGGTAGGTAGGAAGCAAGGAAGAAGGTAGGTAGGTGGGTAGGATGTAGGTAGGTCAGAAGGAACGGAGAAAGTTGTGTAGGACTCACAGGCTCCTCCATTGAAAATACACATGCTTTATTCTGCGTCACGTCGTTCACTCAGACTCACAGCGTCTGCGTCTGACGCCGCTGTAGAACGTTCCGGTCTCTGCACAGACGCTTCTGTAGAACGCTCCGGTCTCTGAACGTTCCGGTCTCTGTGGAACGTTCCGGTCTCTGTGGAACGTTCCGGTCTCTGTAGAACGTTCCGGTCTCTGTAGAACGTTCCGGTCTCTGTAGAACGTTCCGGTCTCTGTGGAACGTTCCGGTCTCTGTGGAACGTTCCGGTCTCTGTAGAACGTTCCGGTCTCGGTGCCATTACAGCCGCTTCAGGAAAGACAGTAAGTTGTATAGTTCTGTGACTGGGAGGGTACGACCCTACAACTATACAACCTACTACCTCACCCCGAAGGACAGTGACCAGCTGTATCCTCCTCCTCCGCCTCCTCCAGTTCCTCCGCCTCCTCCTCTGCCACCTCCGTCTCCTCTGCTTCCACTGCCTCATCCTCCTCTGCTGCCTCCTCTTCCGCCTCCTCCTCTGACCCCTCCGCCTCCTCTACCTCCTCTGCCTCCTCTGCTTCCCCTGCCTCCTCCGCCTCCTCTGCCTCCTCTGCCTCCTCTGCCACCTCCGCCTCCTCTACCTCCTCTGCCTCCTCTGCCTCCTCTGCCTCCTCTGCCTCCTCTGCCTCCTCTGCCACCTCCGCCTCCTCTGCTTCCCCTGCCTCCTCTGCCACCTCCGCCTCCTCTGCTTCCCCTGCCTCCTCTGCTTCCCCTGCCTCCTCTGCCACCTCCGCCTCCTCTGCTTCCCCTGCCTCCTCTGCCACCTCCGCCTCCTCTGCTTCCCCTGCCTCCTCTGCCTCCTCCGCCTCTTCCTCTGCTTCCTTTGCCCCCTCTGTCTTCACTACCTCCTCCTTCTCCTCCTCTGTCCCCACTGCCTCCTCTGCCTCGTTCGCCTCCTCCTCTGCCTGCCTTCTCTCTCTCCTCTGCCTCCTCTCTCTCTTCTCCCTCTGCCCTACTCTACTCACTCCTACTATACTTTATTCTCTTCCTCCTCTACCTCTTCCTCCTCCTCCGCCTCCTCTTCTCCTCCTCTGCTCTCACTCAGCTCCACTCTTGTCCTCATTGAAACGGAAAGACAAGGAAAGACAAGACAAAGCCCACGCTGCTCTGAGCAAAGACAGCAGGAGGAGCAGCAGGAGGAGCAGGAGAAGCAGGAGGAGGAACAGAAGGAGCAGGAGGAGCAGCCTGCCCCGGGTCAGAGGGTTCACTCTGAGATTCAAATGCATGTGTTTCTAAACAAACAGCAGAGCCTCACTTTCCATAATATTCAAATGTGCTAAAAATACTGCAGCAGTTTATCTACTCTACTACTCTGAGGACGCTCTGTGGCAAAGATGAACAGGCCTACTCTACTCTACCCTACCCTAATCTACTCTACTCTACTTTACTCTACTCTACCCTACCCTAATCTACTCTACTCTACTCTACTTTACTCTACTCTACTCTACTCTACTTTACTCTACTCTACTCTACTCTACCCTACCCTAATCTACTCTACTCTACTCTACTCTACCCTACCCTAATCTACTCTACTCTACTCTACTTTACTCTACTCTACTCTACTCTACTCTACTCTACTCTACTCTACTCTACCCTACCCTAATCTACTCTACTCTACTCTACTTTACTCTACTCTACTCTACTTTACTCTACTCTACTCTACTCTACCCTACCCTAATCTACTCTACTCTACTCTACTCTACCCTACCCTAATCTACTCTACTCTACTCTACTTTACTCTACTCTACTCTACTCTACTTTACTCTACTCTACTCTACTCTACCCTACCCTAATCTACTCTACTCTACTCTACTCTACCCTACCCTAATCTACTCTACTCTACTCTACTTTACTCTACTCTACTCTACTCTACTTTACTCTACTCTACTCTACTCTACCCTACCCTAATCTACTCTACTCTACTCTACTTTACTCTACTCTACTCTACTTTACTCTACTCTACTCTACTCTACCCTACCCTAATCTACTCTACTCTACTCTACTTTACTCTACTCTACTCTACTCTACTTTACTCTACTCTACTCTACTCTACTCTACCCTACCCTAATCTACTCTACTCTACTCTACTTTACTCTACTCTACTCTACTCTACTCTACCCTACACTAATCTACTCTACCCTAATCTACTCTACTCTACTCTACTCTACTCTACTCTACTCTACTCTACTCTACTCTACCCTACCCTACCCTACCCTACCCTACCCTACTCTACTCTACTCTACTCTACTCTACTCTACTATACTCTACCCTACCCTACTGTATCTACCCTACCCTACTCTAACCTACTCTACCCTACTCTACTCTACTCTACTCTACCCTACTCTACTCTACTCTACTCTACTCTGCCCTACTCTACTCTATTCTACTCTACCCTTTTCTACTCTACTCTACTCTACTCTACTCTACTCTACTCTACTCTACTCTACTCTACTCTACTCTACTCTACTCTACTCTACCCTACTCTACTCTACTCTACTCTACTCTACTCTACTCTACTCTACTCTACCCTACCCTACTCTACTCTACTCTACTCTACTCTACTCTACTCTACTCTACTCTACTCTACTCTACTTTACTCTACTCTACTTGTCTCCACTTTACTGGTTTGTTACTGTTCTTTTGCTAGGATACAGCACCAGTTAATGAAGCCTAATGGAAACGTAACCAGGTAGAGTCGAGTCGAGTCGAGTAGGACTGGTGGAAATGGGGCTCAAAGCTAAGACATGGTTTCTATCTCAGCTTTAAAGCGAGCGGCACCAGCCGCTGGAGGTCTGCACCATGAGAGGAGGTCACCTGGTCCTGGACACCATCGGCCGCACCTGCAAACACAGCCACAGTCACGTAAACACACGGCCTTCTCACTATACTGTATCTATCTGGTATTTTATAATATTCATCAACAATTCCAAAGTCCTCGTATCTCTCCCGGTAAGAAATGTAAAGATAGTATTGTGAGTATGAAAAATGCTTTAAAAAGAGAGGAATAGTTTGAAGTATTTTTGAGTACTTGAATCTGGGTGTCAAGCAGTCAAAGAGTCAAAGAGTGTGGCTGCAGATTTTCATTCTGACCAAGCTGGAGCACACACAGGTGAGTCCAGTCCAAACTTGAGACTTTTGAGGAGATGGGTGGAGTTTGGTGGGCTCCTGCTTCGTTGGAATGAAAACCTGCAGACACAGCAGTTCTTACAGGAACCGGTTTGACACCACTGCTCTAAATGGTCACATGTGAGAGAGACCAGAGAGCAGAGAGAGACAAGAGGGAGACTAGAGAGAGACTAGAGAGAGAGACCAGAGAGAGAGACCAGAGGGAGACTAAAGGGAGAGACCAGAGACCAGAGAGAGACCAGAGAGAGACAAGAGAGAGACTAGAGAGAGAGACCAGAGAGAGAGACTAGAGAGAGAGACCAGAGAGAGAGACCAGAGGGAGACTAGAGGGAGAGACCAGAGACAAACAAGAGACCAGAGAGAGACAAGAGAGAGACTAGAGAGAGAGACCAGAGAGAAAGTCCAGAGAGAGACCAACGAGAGATACTGGAGAGACAGACCAGAGAGGGACCTGAGAAAGAGACCAGAGAGAGACCAGAGAGACCAGAGTGAGGGACCAGAGAGAGACCCGAGAGAGAGACCAGAGAGAGACCAGAGGGCAACAAGAGAGACCAGAGTGAGGGACCAGAGAAAGACCCGAGAGAGAGACCAGGGAGAGACCAACGAGAGACCCCAGAGAGAGAGTCCAAGAGCCCTCTAAACTAATCACTTCGGTGCACACACATTTTACTGTCATTTTATAAAAGCAGTTGCATGAAAAAAGCGAGGGTCCACGCTGTAGACTGCTTTTCTACCGTTTTTTTTAAGCCGCTCCGAGAATTTCACATCAAGAAACCAACCCCACATTCAAACACCAACCCATGAACCAATACATTTGACGCCGAGAGCTGGATTCGAACCCCCATCTTCCAACACGCCGTCCCAGTTTCTGCATATATGTGTTCTCGGTGTGGAGTCGTTTGAGGTGAGCTGTTGTTCCTACGGGCCTTTGAGAGAATGCGGCAGAAGAAGAACGGGGCGTGCTTCGGATTGAGCCGTAACTCCCCATATCTCTGTGTGGCCTCGCTGGGGGGGGTCCCGGGGCCTCGGGCATTATTCAACACAGGCAACGCTGACGGGAGCGGACCACAGAAGCAGCCGCACACCAGAACCACACTGCACAAGCAAGACTCCGCTCGGGCCTAATGGTGCGGATTCGGATTATTTGATATTTGCAGTAAAACCTCATTGGAATACGTGCGCAAAAGTCCCCAGTGTGCACCAGACAAAAAGAAATGGCTGAAAAGGACAGATATAAAACAAGCTAAACGTACACGATAAAATATGAGCCAATAATTGTGTTTTTGATCTTAGTTTGAGTACATTCTGACTGTCTTAGAACAAGTTTGCATTTAGACTTTTTTCAAGAACTGTGGCTTTATTTTCTCATTCCAAGAGAGACATTTCTTATATATACTTTTTTAAACAAGATCATTTTTCTTGTCCCACTGGCAAAATATACTTCGATTCAGATACATTTTGCCAAAGTTGAGCAATTTATGACTTTTTTATTTTTGTGGTGTATAGGTTAAAAACAAGCTCAAAAAGTACAAGTGTCACTGTGAAAGCGATCAACACATTTTTTCAATACAAGTCCCGAAAACATTCAATACACATAAAATAATATTGGAGTAAATAAGCTAAATGAAGCCTTACTGACGCCTTGATATTTTGGGTTGAAATCTGGCATTTATTGGTTGGCGTCGTAATCTACTACTACATGAATTAGATCATAAGACGTTATTTACAAGAATGATATTTAGTACATGCTGTCGATGAGATGCGGTTGTGATTTGTCGCTTGGACCTCGACAGAGCCATGAATGATGAACGCAGAAGGGGAAATGGAACTAGAGATCCTGAGGTAAAATCCCCCGGGGCCTAGACCCTAGTGGTGGGAGCTAAGGAGAAGGGTTGAAGAGCTGGTCTGGCTGATGAGGCGGTGATGGGGAGGAGGAGGGTTGCTGCACGATGTGAAAGCTTGATGACAATGCAGGGCAGTAAAGTGGTGTATCTAGTCTTCGCCTTTATGCAAAAGAAACCGAGTTGGAGCCAATTTCCTTATATGGACATTTTCTCTGACAATGATAGCTTTGCGTCATAACACAAGCAAACGTGTTGCTAAGGTGGTTGCTAAAGCAAGTTGGAGTTTCTCCCGCAGACGAAGGCATCTGATTGGTCAATCCTTATTTGGTCACATCTGGATTTGTCCATTTGTATACAGCTTATGTTAGCATTGTCCATCTGTATACAGTCTGTGTTAGCATTGTCCATCTGTATACTGTTACATGTGTCACCAATATGACAACGTCCACATGTCAGCAGAGACCGGCGCTCACGTCTGGGAGAAAGTGTGTTGCTGTTGTGTAGAAGCTGCTCGTTGTGCGTCTGAAGCTAAGGTCAATGCCGCTGAGCTCTCTCTCTCTGCTGACTGGACACACTTCAATCTCACAGAGTAGATGTCTCTGGGCTCCTGACCGCCGGCGCGTTCACCGCCAACAGGACGGCAGCTTTCAACGTGCGCCAAGAGAAACCGCACTGGTACAGCAGCTCCAGGCCGCGCCCACATGGTCCCAGGACGGAGCCCAATCTATGGACTTATTCACGACAATATTGTGCTTGTAGCCTGGCCGATTTTTGCCAAATACGTGTTTATGTAGGAGTAACTCTGATTAGTGTAAATGCCATGAAAGGGGATAAAGGCCAGGACCCGTCTTTCATCAAGTCTTTCTGATTCAACCTGGCTGAGACATTTAAGGACATTTATGGAAATCTACAGACATTTATGGACGTTTATTAATATTTATGGACATTGGTCATCTGCCCGTTACGAACCTATGTCTCTATGTGGTTGTTTTCATTGCATTGATTTTCTGATCTGTGTTGGCGAATCGACAATGTTGTGAAGTCGTCCGAGAAGAGATGTCGGTTTGATTTAGGGATGTAGAAAAATATATTGAATTGATAGAACCGGGAGCAATCAGGTTCTGGCTCTAGTTAAACATGGGAAAAACTCACTATCAGGGTAGAGTAGAGTAGAGTAGCCAACAGTAGAGCAGAGTAGAGTAGCCTAGAGTTGAGCAGAGTAGAGTAGCCTACAGTAGAGCAGAGTAGAGTAGCCTACAGTAGAGCAGAGTAGAGTAGCCTACAGTTGAGCAGAGTAGAGTAGCCTACAGTAGAGCAGAGTAGCCTACAGTAGAGTAGAGTAGCCAACAGTAGAGTAGAGTAGCCTACAGTAGAGCAGAGTAGAGTAGTCTACAGTAGAGTAGAGTAGAGTGGCCAACAGTAGAGCAGAGTAGAGTAGTCTACAGTAGAGTAGAGTAGAGTAGAGTAGCCAACAGTAGAGCAGAGTAGAGTAGTCTACAGTAGAGTAGAGTAGAGAAGCCTACAGTAGAGCAGAGTAGAGTAGTCTACAGTAGAGTAGAGTAAAGTAGTCTACAGTAGAGTAGAGTAGCCTACAGTAGAGTAGAGTAGCAGAGTAGCCAACAGTAGAGTAGAGTAGCCAACAGTAGAGTAGAGTAGAGAAGCCTACAGTAGAGTAGAGTAGCAGAGTAGCCAACAGTAGAGTAGAGTAGAGCAGAGTAGAGTAGCCTACAGTAGAGTAGAGTAGCAGAGTAGCCAACAGTAGAGTAGAGTAGAGCAGAGTAGAGTAGCCTACAGTAGAGTAGAGTAGCAGAGTAGCCAACAGTAGAGCAGAGTAGAGCAGAGTAGAGAAGCCTACAGTAGAGCAGAGTAGAGTAGCCTACAGTAGAGTAGAGTAGCAGAGTAGCCAACAGTAGAGCAGAGTAGAGCAGAGTAGAGTAGCCTACAGTAGAGCAGAGTAGAGTAGCCTACAGTAGAGCAGAGTAGAGTAGCCTACAGTAGAGCAGAGTAGAGTAGCCTACAGTAGAGCAGAGTAGAGTAGTCTACAGTAGAGCAGAGTAGAGTAGCCTACAGTAGAGCAGAGTAGAGTAGCCTACAGTAGAGCAGAGTAGAGTAGCCTACAGTAGAGCAGAGTAGAGTAGCCTACAGTAGAGTAGAGTAGAGTAGCCTACAGTAGAACCCGGAAATCGAAACACCCGGAGGAAACTTACGCAGACACGAGGAGAACATGCAAACTCCACACATTCTCACTTCTCCCACAACAAAAGTAAATCTGACGTTGTGCTAATCCAGATTAAAGACAGTTCTGTTCTCTCTTTTTAATGCACTGTGATTATTCATGACTTTCATATATTTTTATAATCTTTTTGTTTGTTTCTTGTTTTGTTTTTTCACTTTGCGTTGCCGCGTGCATGAGCTGAACTGTAAACAAATAAACTGGCCTGGCCTGGCCTGGCCCGAGACACGTGTGGCCACTTTAATCTAATCTCTTTTGAGGCTTAAGTGCTACAGAGCTGAGGAGGGTCGATACCAGCAGCCCGCTCTGATGGTACGACACGGGACCAGGACCATGTAACGTGAGCTGGGGCCTGTGCACGGAGGTCACTTTTCACTGCGCCTGAGTCCTATACGCAGCTCAGTTGTTTTGCTTTTTACAGACGTTTTTTCTCCATTTATTTATGTATTTATCTGAAATAAACACAAAAGCTAAATTGTATCCGTCCTAAGGCAGATAGAAACACACAAACACACAGGCAACAGTATAAACAACAACTCGACAAGCACAGCATCGTGAATTTCTCCTCCAGAGGATCAATAAAGTATCTATCTATCTAGAAAAGGCTGTAAATGTTTCTGCAGTACAGTGTTCATGGTTTTACACTGAGACCAGAGCAGAGACGATGGTCCCAACCAAACAGACCAAGCAGAAATCCACTGGAGGAATGCTAGAAGTGATTATCAAGCACTTGGAATTTCACTCTGAACCAGAGCAGAGAAAATGGTCAAAACCAAGCTGCAAACATCAACCAGAGGAACCAGAGGAACCAGAGGAACCAGCGGCTACACCACCTCTGCTGCTGTGACTTGAAGTGATGTCGCACGTTATTACTATTATCAGTGACTTTTAAAATGATGTATTTCTTGGTTTTTGTGGAAGGATGTGTGTCTGCTGCTCTGTATCAATCTCTCTATTTGTTTTAAGACAGCCACAATGTGCTAAAATTAGAATGCATTTTGCCAAATTTGAGCCATTTTTAACTTATTTTTCATTACTTTTTGCAGTGTAATGTTGTTGGAAAGATATATAAGAAACATTTAGTCATTCACCCAGTTTAATTTCTGTCAAACGCAAATCAATTTACCTCATTCTCAAAGTCAGAACAGCCAGAAACCATTCAAAACCAGCTTCACAGTGCGGGATCTCTGCCCCTGGACAAGTCTGGTCAAACTTAAAGGAGACCTTATACTAAAAGAGTTGGAGACATTTGGAAGAGGCTGTTGGTGTCTGTATGTAGCCGGATCCTCTTCAGGGCATAAAGCAGAAAGCACGGCCTTTCTATTTATACCCCGGCCAGAGGGAGAGTGAGGGGCCGGCCAGTGGTGTGAGAGAGGCCTGGGCAGGTCCTGTTACACATGCCAGGGGGACGGCTGGGGCGGGCCACTGGGGGATTGTGCTCGAAGTCAGACAGGCTGACCTCCCCGTCACCTCCGCTCGGCCCACAGAGGGCTCTCCACGTGGGGCTGGAGCTCCGCAGAGGCTGTGGATGGACCCCGGTGCCTGTGTTTGTCAAACTGTGGGTCTAGACCTTAATATTGTGATTAATTATACGTCATTCTTGCTTGTTCATTATGCTTAAGTTGGAGATTTTACATTGGAGACAGTAGCTCAGTTGGTAGAGCATTGGGCCTCGGGCTGGAAGGTTGTGGGTTCTACATTGAGCCTACATTGGGACCTACTCCAACTGCTCCCACTGCTGTCGTTGTGTCCTTGGGCAAGACACTTAACACTGAATCACCAAAACTGTGGCATCAGTGATGTAGCAGCCATCTTCCTGTGGTAATCTTTATTTATGTAGCGCCTTTCACAGACCAGAGTCACAAAGCACTTTACAATTACCCGTAACCCTCAGTCCTGCTCCTGCCCCTCTGTCTTCTCTGCAGCTGTATTTTACAGTGTATGCATGGCTTTTGACAGCTGCAGCAGCACTCAAACCTACAACAGGTTTGATATCTCTGGTGTCTCTTTCTGGTCTCTCTCTAGTCTCTCTCTGGTCTCTCTCTAGTCTCTCTCTGGTCTCTCGCTAGTCTCTCTCTGGTCTCTCGCTAGTCTCTCTCTAGTCTCTCTCTGGTCTCTCTCTGGTCTCTCTCTGGTCTCTCTCTAGTCTCTCTCTGGTCTCTCGCTAGTCTCTCTCTGGTCTCTCTCTGGTCTCTCGCTAGTCTCTCTCTGGTCTCTCTCTGGTCTCTCTCTAGTCTCTCTCTGGTCTCTCTCTGGTCTCTCTCTGGTCTCTCTCTGGTCTCTCTCTAGTCTCTCTCTAGTCTCTCTCTGGTCTCTCTCTAGTCTCTCTCTGGTCTCTCGCTAGTCTCTCTCTGGTCTCTCTCTGGTCTCTCGCTAGTCTCTCTCTGGTCTCTCGCTAGTCTCTCTCTGGTCTCTCGCTAGTCTCTCTCTGGTCTCTCGCTAGTCTCTCTCTGGTCTCTCTCTGGTCTCTCTCTAGTCTCTCTCTGGTCTCTCTCTGGTCTCTCTCTGGTCTCTCTCTGGTCTCTCTCTGGTCTCTCGCTAGTCTCTCTCTGGTCTCTCTCTGGTCTCTCTCTAGTCTCTCTCTAGTCTCTCTCTAGTCTCTCTCTAGTCTCTCTCTAGTCTCTCTCTGGTCTCTCTCTAGTCTCTCTCTGGTCTCTCTCTAGTCTCTCTCTGGTCTCTCTCTAGTCTCTCTCTGGTCTCCCTCTAGTCTCTCTCTGGTCTCTCTCTGGTCTCTCTCTAGTCTCTCTCTGGCCTCTCTCTAGTCTCTCTCTGGTCTCTCTCTGGTCTCTCTCTGGTCTCTCTAGTCTCTCTCTGGTCTCTCTCTAGTCTCTCTCTGGTCTCTCGCTAGTCTCTCTCTGGTCTCTCTCTAGTCTCTCTCTGGTCTCTCTCTGGTCTCTCTCTAGTCTCTCTCTTGTCTCTCTCTCGTCCTCTCGCTAGTCTCTCTCTGGTCTCTGGTCTCTCTCTGGTCTCTCGCTAGTCTCTCTCTGGTCTCTCTCTGGTCTCTCTCTAGTCTCTCTCTAGTCTCTCTCTAGTCTCTCTCTGGTCTCTCTCTAGTCTCTCTCTGGTCTCTCTCTAGTCTCTCTCTGGTCTCTCTCTAGTCTCTCTCTGGTCTCCCTCTAGTCTCTCTCTGGTCTCTCTCTGGTCTCTCTCTAGTCTCTCTCTGGTCTCTCTCTGGTCTCTCGCTAGTCTCTCTCTGGTCTCTGGTCTCTCTCTGGTCTCTCTCTGGTCTCTCTCTGGTCTCTCTCTAGTCTCTCTCTAGTCTCTCTCTAGTCTCTCTCTAGTCTCTCTCTGGTCTCTCTCTAGTCTCTCTCTGGTCTCTCTCTAGTCTCTCTCTGGTCTCTCTCTAGTCTCTCTCTGGTCTCCCTCTAGTCTCTCTCTGGTCTCTCTCTGGTCTCTCTCTAGTCTCTCTCTGGTCTCTCTCTAGTCTCTCTCTAGTCTCTCTCTGGTCTCTCTCTGGTCTCTCTAGTCTCTCTCTGGTCTCTCTCTGGTCTCTCTCTGGTCTCTCTCTAGTCTCTCTCTGGTCTCTCTCTAGTCTCTCTCTGGTCTCTCTCTAGTCTCTCTCTGGTCTCTCTCTGGTCTCTCTCTAGTCTCTCTCTGGTCTCTCTCTAGTCTCTCTCTAGTCTCTCTCTAGTCTCTCTCTAGTCTCTCTCTGGTCTCTCTCTAGTCTCTCTCTGGTCTCTCGCTAGTCTCTCTCTGGTCTCTCTCTAGTCTCTCTCTAGTCTCTCTCTGGTCTCTCTCTGGTCTCTCTCTGGTCTCTCTCTGGTCTCTCTCTGGTCTCTCTCTAGTCTCTCTCTGGTCTCAGACCTACCACCAACAGGCGTTATATCTCTGGTGTCTCTCTCTTCAGCAGTCGTGACTTCAGGTGGTTCGATAAAGTATGAGGGTTTTACAGATTTAAACTCACAGCTGCAGATTTAGCGTATTATGTGTTATTTTTTCTAATCATTTTTCAGTCGACGTCCTCCTGACAAACTAGCTGTAGCTGTAGAACGCTAATGTCGTTGGTGAGATAGTAAACATTTCAGTCGGGGCCACTTAACTTCTGTCAAACGCAAATCCTCGGCTTTGTTCTTCGACATGGAGCAGTGGCACATGTAATCACGCCTATGTGTGCATAGCCCCAGTGTCAGACTGCGAAACGAACCGGCCCTGGCCACAAACCCACTGCCCTTTCCGCCCTCCGCCCCCACAGCAGCTGTAAACATGCCAGGTGAGGAGCCTTGGATTAGGGGCCTCCAGCTCCGTCCTTTAGAGGCAAAAAAAAATAAAAATGGCCCTAATGATTGTAATGACAGGGCTCAGAGCGGGTCAGCTGCTTCTCATCTGCGGATGCTCTGTCACATGTGCGGGTTTTCACTCCGAGCATGTGTCTCCAGGAAGCACCGCGGGGAGAAGGCCAAACAGCGTCAGCATGGAGACGCACACACTGTTACAGCAAGAGACACTCACTTTTTATGGTCTTTCTGGTCCCTGAGGTCTCTCTCTGGTCTCTATGTGATCTCTCTCTCTGGTCTTACTCTGGTCTCTCTCTGGTCCTTCACTCTGGTCTCTCTCATGTCTCTCTGGTCCTTCACTCTGGTCTCTCTCATGTCTCTCTCTCTGGTCCTTCACTCTGGTCTCTCTCATGTCTCTCTGGTCCTTCACTCTGGTCTCTCTCATGTCTCTCTCTCTGGTCTCTCTCATGTCTCTCTCTCTGGTCCTTCACTCTGGTCTCTCTCATGTCTCTCTCTCTGGTCTCTCTCATGTCTCTCTGGTCCTTCACTCTGGTCTCTCTCATGTCTCTCTCTCTGGTCTCTCTCATGTCTCTCTGGTCCTTCACTCTGGTCTCTCATGTCTCTCTGGTCTCTCTCTGGTCTCTCTCATGTCTCTCTGGTCCTTTACTCTGGGTCTCACTCTGGTCTCTCTCATGTCTCTCTGGTCTCACTCTGGTCTCTCTCATGTCTCTCTGGTCTTCACTCTGGTCTCTCATGTCTCTCTGGTCTCTCTCTGGTCTCTCTCATGTCTCTCTGGTCCTTTACTCTGGTCTCACTCTGGTCTCTCTCATGTCTCTCTGGTCTCACTCTGGTCTCTCTCATGTCTCTCTGGTCTCACTCTGGTCTCTCTCATGTCTCTCTGGTCTCACTCTGGTCTCTCTCATGTCTCTCTGGTCTCTCTGGTCTCACTCTGGTCTCTCTCATGTCTCTCTGGTCTCACTCTGGTCTCTCTCATGTCTCCCTGGTCCTTTACTCGTCTCACAGTGGGGGTAATTTCAGTGTTTCGTCGCAAGTTACAGAACACTAGATATGAGGAGACATGACATAAGAGAAGTGAATATTAATTAATAATAAGTAAAACAGAATAAAATCTCTATCTTTAGTTGAACTCCTATAGCAGTCAAGTTGACAATTTTTGTGATAGCGTCATGTGATACTACTGTACATGTTAGCATCATGTGATACTACTGTACATGTTAGCATGTGATACTACTGTACATGTTAGCATGTGATACTACTGTACATGTTAGCATCATGTGATACTACTGTACATGTTAGCATCATGTGATACTACTGTACATGTTAGCATCATGTGATACTACTGTACATGTTAGAATCATGTGATACTACTGTACATGTTAGCATGTGATACTACTGTACATGTTAGCATGTGATACTACTGTACATGTTAGCATCATGTGATACTACTGTACATGTTAGCATCATGTGATACTACAGTACATGTTAGCATCATGTGATACTACTGTACATGTTAGCATCATGTGATACTACTGTACATGTTAGCATCATGTGATACTACTGTACATGTTAGCATCATGTGATACTACTGTACATGTTAGCATGTGATACTACTGTACATGTTAGCATGTGATACTACTGTACATGTTAGCATGTGATACTATACTGAGTAAAGTGACAGTAGACACATGTGGTCCCATATATTCTATAATTGTCACATATTGACCTCTGCTGCCCCCTGTCCTCAGCCCGGGCACTGCCCCGTCACTGTCCCGTCACTGCCCCGTCACTGTCCCGTCACTGTCCCGTCACTGTCCCGTCACTGCCCCGTCACTGCCCCGTCACTGTCCCGTCACTGCCCCGTCACTGTCCCGTCACTGCCCCGTCACTGTCCCGTCACTGTCCCGTCACTGCCCCGTCACTGTCCCGTCACTGTCCCGTCACTGCCCCGTCACTGTCCCGTCACTGCCCCGTCACTGCCCCGTCACTGTCCCGTCACTGTCCCGTCACTGCCCAGTCACTGCCCCGTCACTGTCCCGTCACTGTCCAGTCACTGTCCCGTCACTGCCCCGTCACTGTCCCGTCACTGCCCCGTCACTGCCCCGTCACTGCCCCGTCACTGCCCCGTCACTGTCCCGTCACTGCCCCGTCACTGCCCCGTCACTGCCCCGTCACTGCCCAGTCACTGTCCCGTCACTGTCCCGTCACTGCCCCGTCACTGCCCCGTCACTGTCCCGTCACTGCCCCGTCACTGTCCCGTCACTGTCCCGTCACTGCCCCGTCACGGCCCCGTCACTGTCCCGTCACTGTCCCGTCACTGTCCCGTCACTGCCCCGTCACTGCCCCGTCACTGTCCCGTCACGGCCCCGTCACTGTCCCGTCACTGTCCAGTCACTGTCCCGTCACTGTCCCGTCACTGCCCCGTCACTGCCCCGTCACTGTCCCGTCACGGCCCCGTCACTGCCCCGTCACGGCCCCGTCACTGTCCCGTCACTGTCCAGTCACTGTCCAGTCACTGTCCCGTCACTGTCCCGTCACTGTCCCGTCACTGCCCCGTCACTGCCCCGTCACTGTCCCGTCACTGTCCCGTCACTGTCCCGTCACTGTCCCGTCACTGCCCAGTCACTGCCCTGTCACTGTCCCGTCACTGTCCCGTCACTGCCCCGTCACTGTCCCGTCACTGTCCCGTCACTGCCCCGTCACTGTCCCGTCACTGCCCCGTCACTGCCCAGTCACTGTCCCGTCACTGTCCCGTCACTGCCCCGTCACTGTCCCGTCACTGCCCCGTCACTGTCCCGTCACTGCCCCGTCACTGCCCAGTCACTGCCCCGTCACTGTCCCGTCACTGCCCCGTCACTGCCAGTCACTGTCCCGTCACTGCCCCGTCACTGCCCCGTCACTGCCCCGTCACTGTCCCGTCACTGTCCCGTCACTGTCCCGTCACTGCCCCGTCACTGCCCCGTCACTGCCCCGTCACTGTCCCGTCACTGCCCCGTCACTGTCCCGTCACTGCCCCGTCACTGTCCCGTCACTGCCCCGTCACTGCCCCGTCACTGTCCCGTCACTGCCCCGTCACTGCCCCGTCACTGCCCCGTCACTGTCCCGTCACTGCCCCGTCACTGTCCCGTCACTGCCCCGTCACTGCCCCGTCACTGCCCCGTCACTGCCCCGTCACTGTCCCGTCACTGCCCCGTCACTGCCCCGTCACTGCCCCGTCACTGCCCCGTCACTGTCCCGTCACTGCCCCGTCACTGCCCCGTCACTGCCCCGTCACTGCCCCGTCACTGTCCCGTCACTGCCCCGTCACTGTCCCGTCACTGTCCCGTCAGGCTGCATCTGTCCCTTCTATATTTAGGCAGTGGGACACATACCTTTCTGCTGTATATGAACTTGAGCTGACAGACAGAGGAGACAGTCAGGCATCTGTAGAGCGCAACCTTCAGGATTCGTTAGCTCCCGGCTACAGCTGGCTACGGTCCGGCCCAGCGCGCACACACACACACACACACACAGAAACCAGAAAGAGTTTGAGGCTTTAACGCTGATCAAACAGAAACAGAAAAGCTGTCTCTCTAACTAACCATACATTCAGGCCCTGTATCCAGCCTTGACCATAGCAGGAGAGCACCCCGAGAACGATATGTGAACCGTGTTGCAGGCCATCTGGTCCATATAATCATAAACAAATGCAGGCAGTATCAGTTGCAAGAGGTCTAGGCCGGGTAAATGTATTCATGCCTGGGTCTCTTGGTAGATACTGTAGAGATATGCCCTAGATACAAGCTGTGGTTATGCAATAGCATTCATAATTCATTCCACAAACACAATATAGAGGCCACAATGTCCTGTATGCAAACACATGGGCAGATTACAGAGAGGGAGCCGGAGGGACGCTCTGGAGAGAGAGTGTCAAAGAGAGTCTGTCTGTGACCAGCCCAAAGAGGCCTGGACCGAGGCTGAGGCCTGGACCGGGGCTGAGGCCTGGACCGGGGCTGAGGCCTGGACCGGGGCTGAGGCCTGGACCGGGGCTGAGGCCTGGACCGAGGCTGTGGGAACTCTGTCCTCCACAGACTCACACCAATGACACAGCGCCAGGTCATTAAACATGACTCTGCGCTGCTGTAACAGACTGTAACAGACTGTAACAGACTGTAACAGACTGTAACAGTCTGTAACAGACTGTAACAGACTGTAACAGACAGTAACAGACAGTAACAGACTGTAACAGACAGTAACAGACAGTAACAGACTGTAACAGACAGTAACAGACTGTAACAGACAGTAACAGACTGTAACAGACTGTAACAGACTGTAACAGACAGTAACAGACTGTAACAGACTGTAACAGACTGTAACAGACAGTAACAGACTGTAACAGACTGTAACAGACTGTAACAGACTGTAACAGACTGTAACAGACTGTAACAGACAGTAACAGACTGTAACAGACTGTAACAGACTGTAACAGACTGTAACAGACTGTAACAGACAGTAACAGACAGTAACAGACTGTAACAGACAGTAACAGACAGTAACAGACAGTAACAGACTGTAACAGACTGTAACAGACAGTAACAGACTGTAACAGACAGTAACAGACTGTAACAGACTGTAACAGACAGTAACAGACTGTAACAGACAGTAACAGACTGTAACAGACTGTAACAGACAGTAACAGACTGTAACAGACTGTAACAGACTGTAACAGACAGTAACAGACAGTAACAGACTGTAACAGACTGTAACAGACAGTAACAGACTGTAACAGACTGTAACAGACTGTAACAGACTGTAACAGACTGTAACAGACAGTAACAGACTGTAACAGACTGTAACAGACAGTAACAGACTGTAACAGACTGTAACAGACTGTAACAGACTGTAACAGACTGTAACAGACTGTAACAGACAGTAACAGACAGTAACATACAGTAACAGACTGTAACAGACTGTAACAGACAGTAACAGACAGTAACAGACTGTAACAGACAGTAACAGACAGTAACAGACTGTAACAGACTGTAACAGACTGTAACAGACAGTAACAGACAGTAACATACAGTAACAGACTGTAACAGACTGTAACAGACAGTAACAGACTGTAACAGACTGTAACAGACTGTAACAGACTGTAACAGACTGTAACAGACTGTAACAGACTGTAACAGACAGTAACAGACAGTAACAGACAGTAACAGACTGTAACAGACAGTAACAGACTGTAACAGACTGTAACAGACTGTAACAGACAGTAACAGACTGTAACAGACTGTAACAGACAGTAACAGACAGTAACAGACTGTAACAGACTGTAACAGACAGTAACAGACAGTAACAGACTGTAACAGACTGTAACAGACTGTAACAGACTGTAACAGACTGTAACAGACTGTAACAGACTGTAACAGACAGTAACAGACAGTAACAGACAGTAACAGACTGTAACAGACAGTAACAGACTGTAACAGACTGTAACAGTAACAGACTGTAACAGACTGTAACAGACAGTAACAGACAGTAACAGACAGTAACAGACTGTAACAGACAGTAACAGACTGTAACAGACTGTAACAGACTGTAACAGACTGTAACAGACAGTAACAGACTGTAACAGACTGTAACAGACTGTAACAGACAGTAACAGACTGTAACAGACTGTAACAGACAGTAACAGACAGTAACAGACTGTAACAGACTGTAACAGACTGTAACAGACTGTAACAGACTGTAACAGACTGTAACAGACTGTAACAGACAGTAACAGACAGTAACAGACTGTAACAGACAGTAACAGACTGTAACAGACTGTAACAGACAGTAACAGACAGTAACAGACAGTAACAGACTGTAACAGACAGTAACAGACTGTAACAGACTGTAACAGACTGTAACAGACTGTAACAGACAGTAACAGACTGTAACAGACTGTAACAGACAGTAACAGACAGTAACAGACTGTAACAGACTGTAACAGACTGTAACAGACTGTAACAGACTGTAACAGACTGTAACAGACTGTAACAGACTGTAACAGACAGTAACAGACTGTAACAGACAGTAACAGACAGTAACAGACTGTAACAGACAGTAACAGACAGTAACAGACTGTAACAGACAGTAACAGACTGTAACAGACTGTAACAGACAGTAACAGACAGTAACAGACTGTAACAGACAGTAACAGACAGTAACAGACTGTAACAGACTGTACACTGTGCATGAGCGGCCTGCAGAGGGGTCCTGACCCATTGGCACAGAGCTGAGAGTGGAATAATCTGAAATAATCCATAGGAATATGTCACACTCTTACATCAGAGCTTTAATACGATTTATAAGTGAGACTATAGTTATTATTATCTTTTTTAATGTATGTTTTATTTGTAAATAACAAAACAATTATGACAGTTTTCTTCATCGTAATACAGAATATTTCATATTTTACAGTATCCGGCTAATTTTCATAATATTTGTTTATAGATGCCCGTATAAAGTAAACTGAAGGATTATATGAATAAAGACCAGAGTGTGACGGGCTGTAAGTGTTACTGTTACACACACACACACACACACACACACACCCGCACGCACACACACACACACACACCCGCACGCACACACAACACACACACACACACACACACACACACACACGCACACACACACGCACACACGCACGCACACACGCACACACACACACTCACACACTCACACACACACACACACACACACACACACACACACCCGCACACACACACACCCGCACGCACACACACACCCGCACGCACACTTAAAATTATGTAAATAATCAAATAATTGAATGTAACTTAACTACACCTATGCCACACTACACTGTACAAAGTATTCAAGTCAGTGTTTTTGTCCAGTGTTTCCATGACACTAGAACAGTCAGTTTGACTGCTTTCAGTCTTGAAAACAGAATTATTCGGCTCATGTTCAGTTATGGTCTTCTTAACTTTGGGACTTCTTCTGTTTTTCTACGTGTGCTTTATTTCCATGTCATTATTTTAATGAAAGAGCATTTCCCACCGGAGAAGAGCGAGTGCTGGTTACCATAGCAACACACTGTATGCTTACTGCAGTTAGCGGTTAGCATGTCAACAAACTGAATCTTTTTGCCGTATTTCAGTTTTAGCACTTAGTCAACATGAATAAAGAATAAAAAATCCTTATAAATGACTTACTTTGAATAAATATGGTATATTAGTCAAAACCGGCGGTATTCAATGACTAACTTTTACGGAGTATGATGGAAACAGCCGTGTTAGCTAGCATTCATTGTATTAGCTACATTTATAGTTAGCATTAGTTTGAGAATGTATTACAGATAATAAACGTACAAATTACTTTTTTTCTTTAAAGCAGTGGAAACAACAAAAACTGTTTCCTTTTTCCGTCCCACAGTGAGGAAATGTCAGTGTTGCATCCGCAGTTACAGAACGGTAGGAATGACAACAACAAAAAAAAACAATAACTCCATACTAAAATAAAATAAAGTGTCTAGCTTTGGCATGAGAAAGAAGCAAGTGTCGAATCTGCAACTTCAGCATTAAGAAGCAAGAGTAAAATACTGCATATTCCAGTGTAATATATATATATGAAGTTGTATGAATACATTTGTTCATGTAGCAGCTTGAGGCTCTGGGACACGGGGACAAAGTAAAGCAACAGTGACACATGAGTATCTATTTTCAACTTATTTATTACTTCAAATTATTATTGCACAGATAAGTATAAGTCCTAGAGCTTTTTTTTTTTTTTTACAAGTGAGACTATTGTGATATTAGCTGCCCTGTGTCTGCTCCGGTCCTGACACTGTATCTGTCGGCGAGTGGTAAGGCCTTCAGTAACATCTGCACATGTAATCAAATGCCTGGCACATGTAATCAAATGCCTGGCACATGTAATCAAATGCCTGGCACATGTAATCAAATGCCTGGCACATGTAATCAAATGCCTGGCACATGTAATCAAATGCCTGGCACATGTAATCAAATGCCTGGCACATGTAATCAAATGCCTGGCACATGTAATCAAATGCCTGGCACATGTAATCAAATGCCTGGCACATGTAATCAAATGCCTGGCACATGTAATCAAATGCCTGGCACATGTAATCAAATGCCTGGCACATGTAATCAAATGCCTGGCACATGTAATCAAATGCCTGGCACATGTAATCAAATGCCTGGCACATGTAATCAAATGCCTGGCACATGTAATCAAATGCCTGGCACACGCAGGATTACAGGGCGAGGCCGGGGTGAGCCGGTTCACCAGGCTATTGCTGAGGCTAACGCTAAGGCTGGGGCTGAGGCTGAGGCTAACGCTGAGGCTAACGCTGAGGCTAACGCTGAGGCTAACGCTGAGGCTAACAGTGAGGCTGAGGCTAACACTGAGGCTGAGGCTAACACTGAGGCTGAGGCTAACACTGAGGCTAACACTAACACTGAGGCTAACACTGAGGCTGAGGCTAACACTAACACTGAGGCTAACACTAACACTGAGGCTAACACTGAGGCTGAGGCTGAGGCTGAGGCTGAGGCTGAGGCTAACACTGAGGCTGAGGCTAACACTGAGGCTGAGGCTAACACTGAGGCTGAGGCTAACACTGAGGCTGAGGCTAACACTGAGGCTGAGGCTAACGCTGAGGCTGAGGCTAACGCTGAGGCTGAGGCTAACACTGAGGCTGAGGCTAACGCTGAGGCTGAGGCTAACACTGAGGCTGAGGCTGAGGCTAACACTGAGGCTGAGGCTAACACTGAGGCTGAGGCTAACACTGAGGCTGAGGCTAACACTGAGGCTGAGGCTGAGGCTGAGGCTGAGGCTAACACTGAGGCTGAGGCTAACACTGAGGCTAACACTGAGGCTGAGGCTAACACTGAGGCTAACACTGAGGCTGAGGCTAACACTGAGGCTAACACTGAGGCTGAGGCTGACGCTAACGCTGAGGCTGAGGCTAACACTGAGGCTGAGGCTAACACTGAGGCTAACACTGAGGCTGAGGCTGAGGCTAACACTAACACTGAGGCTGAGGCTAACACTGAGGCTGAGGCTAACACTGAG